ACTTGGTTGTTTAAATTTTATATTTTTTTAAACTGACTTAAATTTATTTTCCCATGCTTAATCTAGATAAATATTATTTGTAAAAGAGAAAATCTAAAATCTAAAAATATAAATAGAGATAATAAAATTTATATTTTTTATTAATTATTAATATTTAATATAAATTAATATAAAACATAAATATAATCAAAAATATATACACTAAAAAAATATATACAATACACACGTACAATAAATAGTATTGCTGTAATATATACAATAGTATATTTGTATTGTAATATTTGGCTTCATGAGCTAATTAATCATATCCTGCAGCACTGAAAATAATATTTTATATTAAATTTGTTATTGCTTTTGCTGTCAAATCACCAGTTATACTTTTACATATTACATGCAAGGTCACCAGACAACCACGAAGCGGCACATTAGGATATTTGTATACTTTTGGTCGAAATCTCATTATAAATGTGAGCATATAATTTTTTTAAATTTTTAAATTGAAAAAAGATTCTCAGGGTCAATTTTTAAATCCTAACAGTTAGGACCAAGCCTTACAGAATGAAATTTGAGATATAATCAAATTTATTAAGGCTTACCTGTTTAAGGCAGTATGTTGGCCCTAGTTGACAGTTTTACTCTTCACCATTGGTCAGCGACAATTAGCAGAAAATATTAACCATTGGATCATATTTAATTAAACAAAAGGCCAGGATCTGCACTAGGATACATAACAGGAGGCGAGAACTAGGAGAGATTCCGTGCCCTGGTGGGGGTCGCGTCCGGACGCACTGAGTTAGAGACATCCACAAAAGTCGGAGAGGTGAGAGAATCTCAAGAGATTCCTGGCCATGCCCACCACCACGGCTGCTGTAAAACGACATTTGTTTTGTGCCTTCCAATGGATCCTCGTCACGTGTTCCCCCTCGCTCTGTTAATGTGGCCCTCCTTTCTCTCTCCTGTCAATTTCTTTGTCCTCTTCTATCCTTTCACCTTCACGTGTCGTGAGGCAGGATTCCCTTATTTTCCTTCCTATTCCTCTCTCTCTCTTTTCCCTGAACAATCACGTCAAGATCTAAATAGTTTAAATTTAATTTTTCAATAAAATTATAATTAAAATATTAATGTATAAAAAATATAAATAGTAAAATATAAAATAAAAAAATTTAACATAAACAATTAAAGGATGCATTAAAAACAAGAAAAATATTTTATAAGACATCAAAACTAAAAATTTTAATATAATATTTTTTCTGTTAAAAAATATAAAATTATTTATTAAGTATTTTTATTGAATAAATTATTTTATATTTATTTTAAAATAAAATATCATCTTAAATAAAGATAAATATAAAAAATAAAATTAATTTAAAAATGAATAATTATTTTATTTGAATGAAAAATTTGATTGAAAAACGTTATATCTTTTAAATGCTCTCCTACCCTCCTTTGCACCCTCACTTCACGCTGCACGCTTTTCCCTTCCTCCTCCACCACATCATCAATTCATCTCCCCCCCCCCCCCCCCAAAAAAAAAAAGGCACGCTCACAAAACATCCCTTCATTCCTTTCCATTCATGTTACAGTTACAATTACCCCTTTCATCTTCTTAACTTCACCATCACTTGTTTTTTCCCCATCTTCAAAACCCCATAAATATTTTTATCGTCTTTATTTTTATGGATATTTGGACTCAATTTAAGTTTGGTGTATATGTTGGCGCTGATACAAAATTAAACTAGGCGAGAGTCCCATGTATCAGTTGCATATAGTTTGTTTGAAAAATGAATTGCATTAGTTATAAACAGCACAAGCAATACAAATTTACACATGGCATCGATATGTGTATATATATATATTGATGCAATATTTGCATCATCAATCAATGTATATATTAAAGATATGACTCAATGGGTTCATCGCCAGGTAAATTAAAGGTATCTTGATGTTCATATTTCAAACTGCCAAGAGTCTACTAGCTCAATGACATCCCGCTTTCCCTTAATGGAGAGAGATCGTGGGTTCTATGTTTCATGTGATGTAGGGATGGGTGTATGACGCGTGGTATATGTGTATACCTTATTCTTCATCTTGGGAGAAGGGTTGCCTTATTCTACCTGAGGTACTCTCTCTGTTTTTATATATAATAAAAAAATTATATTATATAAGTTAGTTAATTATAAGAATTATATTTAAAAATAAAAAAATTAATTTAATAAACCGATGAAGCTGATAATCAATAAACCGCTTGGAAGAGGGCATCGATCACCGTGTTCCCAAAACGATGGAGCTGGGTAATCATACTTTTCGTTCATGTCTTTCCTTCCACTGTCCAGATATCCGACCAAATCCAGTGGATTCCCATTTAGTCCCTGTCATCACTCTTTTTTCTTTTCCTCCTTTTTTTTAAAAAATTATTAGATGAATCTAATTCACCACATCATTTATGATCCATTTAATAAAATTACACTAGCACAATCAAATAAAATATTATATATAGTTATTTTTCTAATTTTATTTTTATAATAAAATACCTATTTAATTTTTTATTTAATTTTAGGATTAAAGTATAATTGTACCTTTGAATTATTTTTTGAGGAATATGTTGTGTCTCAAACTATTTATCATAGCAATTTCGCACTTAAAATAATTAAAATATAATATATTTATTCTTAATATTAAATATACCAATGTTGATTATTAAAGATGTTGCTAGGATTTAAGCTTGATCAAAAATGTCTCCATTATATCAAGTGGATAGAAATTAAAGTCCATTTTAATACATCACTGCTACCAAGGACGCTTAAATTGTCGAGCTGGCGAAGTTAGAGCATTTGTCTCTGCTTAAGTCACCACTCAATGCTTGTTGGAGGCTCTCTAGGACATCATTTCTTGCGCACAAAGAATCCGAGCCAACCCAACCAAAAAAAAAAAAAAAGTGTCTTCAATTATTCTGAAAAACTTTATAAATAAGAAGAACGAATCAAACGTTAGATTGCCAATAAAGTTGCACGCCAAAATTTCATATTTCTTGAGTGACTATTAATTGATGTATATTACTATAACAATTTAAGTCCACATTTTTAGAAAAATGTTAGGGTTAAATTTAGAAGTCAGAGAAACAGCTTGGATGCTGACCTACCAATTTTAAAGTTCTTTTTTTGGAGTGTCAAACTTGTTAATCCGTGCTTCTTCATCATTCTTTAAGTAGACATGGGCATCCAACTCATCCAAATGTCCCGTGTCGCTTCCTGCATTGTCCACGTTACAAATTCTGCTTGTGTTTTCTGGGTCCATTACAGATAATAACAGTTACCTCAAAAGGAAAGTGAGGTGTTTTTTGGCCGATGCTTAAAAACCAGCGGCTCCAACTAATTTAGAATTGAGTTGGGTTGCACTTATTTCAGGTAGAAACTCTACTATGAAACACTGTTGTATTCCTAGGAATCAAATTTGAGACCTTCATTAAATTGATAGCCTGATGCAACTCTCTTTCTAGTTAAACCAAAATACTTGTAGGTAGCATCGCAAAGTTTTTTTTTTTTTTTGGCACAGCGTAGCGAAGTTGAATGTGAAGGTCTGAGAATTATCCCATATTCAAGTTTTTCTGGTCTGAAATCCCATGTCCTTGATACCAGTACCTGACGTGGGTAGCCCGTGACACCAAAGCCCAAGTCTTTGAGACACTGGACACCCACACATTTTACTTCGGCTTCAAGAGGCTCCATTTTTTATTCTTTTGTAGAGAGCTTTGGGTCCTATTTAATTGCGGCTCGGATATAGGAAGGATGACAAATTTCGATCATCTTTGCATCTCCTTGTCACGAATATATGGCTCTACATTTGGCCTAATATATTAGAAAAATTACATGCAAGTCCTGCTCGCCTGTCCATTGACAATTGAGTTTAGGAAAATAACAACACATTTATATATACATATATGTTCAGCATGTAAATGAGAAATTACGTACAGGAGGATTCAAATTCTCGTACATGGCAAGGAAAAATAAATTGCATCAAAGAATACATTTTTTTTCAAAATTTAGACGGCCATTGACGTCAAAATCCACTTCTTTAGCCTCGTAGCAAATACAGGAACAATGAATAGTATGTGACACTGGAGGTACAAATTATTTCACGCCGTATTCTAAAATAGGAATGTTCGAGCAAAGAAATGAACACGAAGGTCAGTGAATGTCATTGTAAAATTAGGGAAGCTCCAAATAGTTTATTATATTTTTGCTTATCAGTTTTCAGTAAAGATAAATTTAGTTAATAGATACAAAATATCAGAAAAAACTGCAAAAATCATATAATCAACAACCACAAGGACCATACTCTTATCACATCGTCGCTAAATTAAATTATTAAACTGTCATTATAAAAATGATGTTTAGACAAAAACGGTTTTCTCCAATAAATTGGGTGATAGAGGACTGTAAATATCAACACCTCCTACTTAAGGAGGCCATGATCATGAATGACTTTCGGCCCAAAAAAGGAGACATGAATTTAAAAAAAAAAAAAACGAATTGTGCCAATGAAATGCACTCCAAAGTCCAAACCAAGAGCATCTGCATTTTTTTCAACATAAGCCGCTCAGATCGCTCCCAATCACAAATAGTAACATTTTCGTTTGATTTTATTTATAAATTACTTTTAACATATTTTATTAATATGAAAAAAATCTTAAAATTTATTAACTTTATACTAAATTTTAATAAATTTTTAATTTTATCCTTATTAAATGTACATATTTCAATAACAATTTTTTCTCTCCAATATTTAATGGAGGGTGAAAGAGAAAATTTGTGATAAAATTTAATGACATGATTTATAAATAAGATTAAAAAAATTTTTCTCTCTCCGCCCTATAAATAGGACCAGAGGGAATAGTCAAAAAGCAAAGAATAGGGGGAAATCCATTAACAATCAAGCCTCACGACCCAAGAAAGTGAAAGTGAAAGAGAACCTGAAAAAGAGATGCAGAATAAAACAGGACATTGAAGGTTAAGCATCATTTTCTGATTTCCGTGTCCGAGACTACAAAGTCAACAATTCACCAATTTCTGCTTATACCGTCAATTTCTATTTCCCCTTCAATAATAAGCTTGCTATGCCAGTCGATGATTATGTACAACCACAAGAATCCATACAACGGGGTAGGTAAAATTGAAAACTGGGGAAAACTGGAAGAAAGAATGAAAAGGAAAAAAAAAAAAAAAGGAAAAAAGAAGTAGCCCCATTAACACACATGGACACACCAAAATTTGTAGTCAAGTTGCAATAAATACGTAATTAACGGCTCCCACGCTTAAAATGTTCACGAATGAATCTTTCTGCATGTGCTGGGTACTTATCTCTGATGTATTCCCGAAGGCACTTCTGGTAGGAGAAGTCTATCCAACCACCATCAGTTCTTACAACAAAAAGACACCTTGAGTTTTGAAATTGGGGATGTCGATCAACCTGCAAGAATACAAGTCATATATACCACTGCACTTGTTGACTACTTTGGAAAAGAACCAGAGCAACTCTTTTACGAACTAAGAAGGATTAGCTCAAGCTCAATAACCTTGGTGTGGGGTTGCGAGTCAATGTAAAACTTCAAGAACAGGAAATGATATTTGAAAAACAAGGATTACGGTTAACAAGAAAAAAGTGCATGAGAGGATACCATGAATAGCCCCCCAGAGTTATGTACATATCAGTGAAAGCTTAAATCTTAATGTAACTAATTATATCTACATATATTCACGCACAATCACTTTACTCTCCCAATACGTCTATAAGCAGAGTATTTCAATGCGTTTAATCTAACGGAAGTGATACCTAGATAGCAATATAATGTAATTTCTCCTCATAGCATCATTATGAAGACATCGTAGTTTTGATTGATGACATTTTTTGAGAATGCACACGAGTAACAGACCAGCGCAAAATTTGCCGCAAATGAATTTCAAAGGTATCAGCCATTTTTTCCGCCTTTTCCTACATTACTTGCAGCATTTTTAAGGTTCATCCAAAAAGGAAGAATGTCTAACAATTGAAGCCCCGTCTACAAAGATTTCCCCATCAAATATCAAGGACAGAGCACAGACCAATGCCAAGAGACGCTAATGAGCATTCCGCATATTTTGTAGCTTGAATTCACATAAGATGGATTTTTTCTTGAATATACAGTCATCAAAAGCAGAGGTAAGGCCTACAACTCAGTACATCTAATACTGAAACAATGATCACGCAAAACCGGGCATCAACATTATAGCAAACTATAAGTTCATCACTCAAACTATAGAATAAAAAATCATACTGGGGCTAATTCGAGACAATAAAAAAGTTCAACTACTGAACCGGAATGTAGAATGAAAGCACACCATAATGGGGATGTTTTTGATCCCGCCAAAGCTGCCCTAGAAATTAAATAAAGCTTAAAAAAGTCTAGAGAAGATGATAGCACAACTGATCCCGTGGATGTTCCTTAAGTAGTATGAATGTTATAGCTAGCATGTTCTACACCAAATAAATACAAGCGACCAGGTTGCGAATAAACAGATATCCTATAGTCTATTGGAAAGTAACCAGTGACATGGCATCAATCAATATTAATTAATCAATTACATAATAAAATTTAAAAAAGAAAAAGAAAAGAGCACTGCCGTTACAGCTCGGTGGCTTACACGAGGAAATGAAAAAAAAAAAAAAAAGTTAAATCATAGAAATGAAAATCTTACCATAATAGATTGAAGGCCGCATCCAACTTTATCTTGAAAACGTGGATGGTAGGCAAGAAGCTTATCAACTACAGCTTTCTCATCCCCGACAGTGAGTCTCTCCCCATCCATGTACCTAGCTAAGGAAATCAAGGAATGTGATTATAGGGAATAGAGGGAGAGGGAAATGAGAAAGGAGAGTGATTAAGGCATCATGGCGTGAGGAATGTTGTACCTACCTAGGTGATTGAAGAATATGCTTTGTGAGCAGAAGGATAGGCTCGATGTCCCAGAGGATCTCCGCTTCTTTATTTTTCCGTTTCCGATAATCCCACCCGGCCTCTCTTGGGCTTGGAATAGGGGAATTAGCTCTCAGGCTCCCCAGACTAACACTGCTTACTTTCTCTTCTGCTTGTCCCAAATATGCTTTACTGCGCCGTACCGGGCGATGTTTCGCACCGATTCCGTCGGTTATCCCTCGGTAGTTAAGCCCCTGAATTCTGCTGTGCAGAACACAAGCTGCCATTTCAATTGTTTTTGTTCTTCTAGAAATCAGTTAGATTATAGAAAGATACTGAGATCACGATATTATCTTCCCGATTTGATTCATGTTTTTCTTAGCTCATATAGTTGGACCAAATCATTCTGGGCCTAGCCCATTTGGTCTGGACTGGAGTTTTAAGAATAAGTTGCTGTAGTTGAAGATTTCCTAATGCATGCCTGTCTTATTAATGGACGACAGATTAAATAAAGGCCTAAAAAGGTAGGTGATCAGTATTATATGATCTGGTAAGATTGATTTGATTTTGTACTATATAGCATTAAAAAACATCGTCATCAACATCATCGTGGTTGTTTGCAACTGTTATGAATGCTGCTAGAACTATGGCCTCAAACTTGTCGAAGATCAAATTTTGTTCGCATCTTGTTGTAGATTCCATCTTCCTTGTCAGTTCAGTCACCAATACCATGCACATGGAGACAGATTGTGTGAGCTGATGAGGATCTGTTCCATGGGCAGAGGAATGCAGAAATGTGTGATCTTCAGTTTGTGATGACAAACTAAGCGGGTCGTCAACGAAGGGAAGGGTTGATTTGAAACTTCAACGTTCAAGGCTTATCCAACCTGCACTGCGTGCGGGTGTTATGTTTTAATTTTTTTTTTAATATATAAAATGGTCTAATATATAGTGAGTGGCGTGCGTGCAAGAGGGAACAAAACTAACAATGTTGATTAATCGCTTCCTATATTTGGCGGGCTCCACTTACATTTTTCTCATACTTACACGTGTACTCACCAGAGAAAAAGACTCGAATTTAATTAAAAAGAAAAATAAAAGTCGCCAATCTGAGGAGAGGCCATAGTAATCCCGTGAGCTGTTCCGCACCGGATAAAACTTTTTTGAAAAATGTCAAGACCGACGAAAGCTAGACAGGGTCCAGAAAGGCGGAATGAAATCTGCGTTCGTGTCCGTCTCGGAAATTTTGGAACACGCGCTCTGCAACAACATGCTAACCTCTGGCTTTCCCTCCGCCGAGCTCCACTGAGATTGTGGCTGCTCATCTCCACCGTCTCTGCCAGAAATCGCCGTGGATGGGCCAGATAGCGTCCACGCCCGCAATTGCGTGCCGTCGCCAAAATTCTCACGGCTCCCGCTCCAAGACCGGATCAACGGCCCTCGTTTCTCCGATGCTCGCCGATGACTGCGACGAGTCCCGTCATGAGGTCGTCGATTCCGTCCCTGACTTTATCTCTGATCTTCCCGATGAGTGCTTGGCTTGCATTTTTCAGTCCCTTAGCTCCGCCGACCGTAACCGCTGCTCTCTGGTATGCCGGCGGTGGCTCAAGATTGAGGGGCAGAGCCGTCACCGTCTCTCCCTCAACTCGCCAATGGATCTCCTTTCGGTTATTCCTTCACTTTTCTCTCGTTTCGATTCCGTCACGAAGCTCGCTTTGAAATGCGACCGTAGATCTGTGAGCATTGGGGACGAGGCGCTCCTCCTCATTTCTGAACGATGCCCTAATCTGACTCGCTTAAAACTCCGTGCCTGCCGTGAACTCACGGATGCTGGCATGGGGGCCTTTGCGAAGAACTGCAAGGGTTTGAAGAAGCTTTCATGTGGATCTTGCACTTTTGGGTCCAAAGGGATGAACGCAGTGCTCGATAATTGTCCGTCTCTCGAAGAATTATCAGTGAAGCGTCTTCGCGGAATTACCGATGCAGCTGCTGCTGAGGCGATTGGACCCGGTGTTGCAGCTTCATCCCTCAAAACTATTTGCTTAAAGGAGCTTTACAATGGGCAGTGTTTTGGGTCTCTTATTCTCGGCTCAAAGAATCTAAGGACTTTGAAGCTTTTCAGGTGCTCTGGTGATTGGGATAAACTTTTTCAACTTCTAGCTGACGGAGTGCCAAGCATGGTCGAAATCCACCTTGAGAGGCTTCAGATTGGTGATATTGGCTTGGTGGCAATCTCGAACTGTTCGAATCTAGAAATATTGCATCTTGTCAAGACCCCTGAGTGCACAGACTTAGGGCTTACTGCCATTGCGGATCGGTGTAAGCTCCTACGTAAACTTCATATCGATGGATGGAAAGCGAATCGTATAGGTGATGAAGGTTTGATGGCAGTTGCTAGATGTTGCCCTAATCTTCAAGAACTGGTCCTTATTGGTGTTAATCCCACTAAAGCGAGCTTGGAAATGCTGGCATCCAATTGCCATAATCTAGAGAGATTGGCCTTATGTGGAAGTGATACAGTCGGTGATGGTGAGATATCTTGCATCGCAGCAAAATGTATAGCCCTGAAGAAACTCTGTATCAAGAGTTGCCCTGTCTCTGATCATGGCATGGAAGCACTAGCTAATGGATGCCCAAATTTAGTGAAAGTGAAGGTTAAGAAGTGCAAGGGGGTAACACTTGAAGGTGCAGATTGGTTAAGATTAAGCAGGGCTTCACTTGCTGTTAATTTAGATACTGGCGAAACTGAACATCAGGATGCAGGTGCTAGTGATGGTGCAATGCAGGATAACGCTGTAGAACTTCCATCAATCCCCAGTCAAGCAGCAGCATCAGCCACTATTGCATCAAGCAGTTCTGGTCGATCTACTTCATTCAAGTCAAGGTTAGGACTTTTGTCTGGGAAGAGTTTAGTGGCTTGCACTTTAAGAAGGTGGGCAAGTGGCAATAGTAGTTCCCGGCATGTTTAAACTTTAAAGCAGAAACTTGAAAAATATGCCAAAGGAAAAGCAATTCTAGCCTTTGTTCAATTTCATCATTGTGTTGGATCATCACTTGATTTTTCTCTTTTGTTATATTTAAATTTTAAATCACGCTGTGTGCTGTTGATTGTTTTTTAAGTTGAATCTTCACAGCTGGAAGTGTCAATGGCATTTTTTACTCCCAAATTTCTTTGGTGGCTGGTGCTACCCAAGGATGGTGCATCTTATCAATTACTGCCCTCTTTGCCAATGAGGTTGAGGCTGATCGATGTCTTGAAGTGTTACATTACTACAACTTGTTAAATGTTTTGTATCTAATGGGAGAAGATATACTTTCTTTTAAATTCGTTGACTTTTTCACGGGTGACAAGAATTGTTGGTAAAAATTATCACAGGCCGTAGCCGTTAGATGCTCTATCAAATTCATGTGGCAATCTGTTTTTTGTGTTATTACTTATTTTCTTTGTAATAGTTTGTTTGGGTTTCTTCTTTTGGTCGAAAATTATTCGGTTATTTTCAATGCAATTGATATCCTGTACGATTAACAGATCATTTTTACTTGAGGATGGCATGACTTGCTTTCCCAAGCTGAAGGTGGCATTTATTAAAATCGATGTTCAGTTGGAAAGATACAAGGCGATAGCTGGACTATTATTATTGTTTGATATAACCTACCTACCTCCTTTTCTTCTTATTTTGCTGGCTGGCCTTAAACCTACCCTCCTCCTTTGTTTCCCCATTTTATTCTATGGCTTGTTTGGATCAAAATGGAATCACTGTATTTGGGATTGGGGCCTGGAGATGTCAAGGTATTTTTAGATGTGACTCAAATTAATAATGCGTTTACTTTCTGGCTATACTTATGAATTGGGGCCTGGGGCACCTGTACTTGTTTCAGTACCAATTTAATATGAGTAGCGGGATTGCTAATTGCTAAATATTGGTATTTAAGACACTTTGAAACCTTACGATCACAGCTCACAGGTTATTGGTTGGGCAATACTCAACTTGTTTGATCACTCGATTGATATGTGGACTATGGATATTTGGCATTCTTCATTTTGACGTGGCTTCCATCTGTCAAGTACTTGTTCAACCTACTTGAAAGCTGTAACTTGTAATAGTCAAATTTGATGGGCCCTTGAAATGGATGCTAATAGCAGGCAAAATAACCGATAACTAATGACCCTTTCTGTTTGGCTGAGCTAACATCAAGAGTACATATTCCGCTATTGTTAAAGGTGACGTCCGACTGGGCAGGCTCTCCAAATGTTGTCATGAATGCGCACGTATTTTGTTGAAAAAATCATGTCTCAAAATTTTTTATATCAAATTATTTGTAGGGTTAAAGGGTATTTTTTTCCCTATGCTTTCTTTTGAGTGATATTAAGTACCTTGTACCATTAAGTGAGGTATTTTTACCCTTGTATAATTTTACATAGAAGTAAATTTTCCCTACCGTCAGTCAACCATGGTCTCATGGTTTTTCCTTACGTGGTTGGTTTGTGAGGCTCACTCTTGTGACACTTAGGCCGTTTGACCATCAATTTGACCATGTGTCTTTGCTCTTCTTATGAGATAATTGGATGAACCCTCTTCGTCCTCCCCCCCCTCTCGTTTTCCAGCTCTTTGTCACGGGCTGAGAGTCTGGCGCAGCACACGGCGCCCGTGCGGCGTCCTGGAGGACCCCATAATCCTCAGGACAAGCCTTACCACGTACGGATCACACTGGTTTCGCCCTGCCATGGGCTCATCAGGGAGGCGGCACTAGCCCCCGACCAGTTGTGCACACAGTCCGAAGACTGAGGCAGAACACCCCCAATGCTAATGTCGCCCCCTTTACCCATATTGTGCGAGGCTAACCAGCGGACCGTTCATTATCTTGGTCTTTACACGGTCACGGAAATATCATCCGTGACATTCTCCCACACCCAATCTAGCACGCCCTCGTGCTAGGGGAGAACGACTCCGCCCAAGGATCGTACGTACAGTACTGCCACAAACACATCAGCTTACTTGCTGAGTGGCCACCCGAGTCCTGCACTCTTCGAACCCACTCGCACCCGCGAGCCAACAGGAGTGGAGTCGACAACGGCCAACCATCCCGCCCGAGTCCCCACTTTTGGACCCACCTGCTCGGAGGCCTTTCTGGAGCGGTGCCGAGGCCGACCAGTCCCAACGTGGGACCCCACGCGCACACGACAGTAAAGTACGTCCTGCTCTGATACCACTCTGTCACGGGATGAGAGTCTGGCGCAGCACACGGCGCCCGTGCGGCGTCCTGGAGGACCCCATAATCCTCAGGACAAGCCTTACCACGTACGGATCACACTGGTTTCGCCCTGCCATGGGCTCATCAGGGAGGCGGCACTAGCCCCCGACCAGTTGTGCACACAGTTCGAAGACTGAGGCAGAACACCCCCAATGCTAATGTCGCCCCCTTTACCCATATTGTGCGAGGCTAACCAGCGGACCGATCATTATCTTGGTCTTTACACGGTCACAGAAATATCATCCGTGACATCTTGCTTATCTCGATGCTGTTCTTGAATATCTCCCATTTGATTTCAAATCTAGAATTTTAAATTTGAATTTGAATTTTACTTGGTTCGATCCTTATGTTGTATATATGGAATTCAAGT